CATTGGCCCTTCCCTGGCCACCTACTCCATTGAACCACAAGGGCCTAATGCAGTCTCTGGCATCACCACCTCAGCGAGATCTCATTGCTCTAGTTTTGTGTCATGTGCTACCTTCCAAAGTGTCAGTGTAACTGTCCCCATAGCCACCCAATTGGAAAGAAAGGTTGCATTGTACTAAGCTAACAGCAGGGTGTGATCTAAAGGGGGAAGCAGCAGCCAGGAAATGGGCATTTGATGCACACTTAATAGCTTTGGAACCCTAAAAATGGCAGGAGACTTGCCAACATTAGCAAGATCTAACCAGTTGGAGGTACAATAGGCACTAGTTGAGCACCTCTAATCTACAAACTTGAGATCTAAAATGCATCATCATGAGGCTACCAGTAGAACATTCCACATCTGACCTCCTATGACAGGGCACAGCCAAAATACAGGTACACTAAAAATATTGTATGAAATTACCTTCAGACTAGGTACATAAGGCATATAGGAAAAGTAAATGAATTTCATGTCCAGACTTTGGTCTCATTCCTAAGATATCTCATTATGCAAATGCAAATATTTCAAAATCAGAAAAAATCCAAACTCAGAACCAATTCTGGTCCCAAGTGTTTCAGATACAGAATATTCAACCTGTATCTCCAAATTAGCAGTGAAGTGTCTGAAAAATATTCTCCATACAGGGACACATATGGGTGTTAGAGTCTGTAAACAAGTCAAGATGGCGCCTGGCATTTTGCAGAGGGAGTGGTTTGTGAAGTAACGCCAGCGAGCCATTAAGTGTGGAGATTCCTTATTGGTTGACTGCTGTATCTAGTTTGTTAATTAAGATAAGCTGTATGGAATGTATATATACCCCTCCGGTCCTACAATAAACGGCTCCCACTCCAGCTATATCAATCTACACAAGTTGCTCGTCACCCCTGGTTATTTTGCTGCAGCCGGACTGCGGCATATGGGGAAAAAAGACATAGGACATACAAATAAGGGTTACCCAATTTAGAATATCAGTTCTGCCGCTTCTTAGTGGTGTGTCCTTAGGCAAGTTGCTTAATCTCAGATTCCTCATCAGTAAAATGGGAATAACACATAGAACTGTTCCAAGATTAAAGATAACTGTTAATCTTAATGGTGGTTAACATCACTATGGCCTGTGTATGGATTTCAGAGGCAGGTTCTCAGAACAGAGGCATGGCAGAAATACTGAACATGAGAAGGCTTAGCTGGCTATTTCTTCAATGGTGCCTCCAGAAGGGAGGTGATAAGATTCTGAAGAAAAGGCTGAAGTCTTCTCTTTACATATCCTGAGTCCAAAGCAGCCTCTCAACTTTGTAGCCTCCTGCCTTTTGAAGGCAACATCTGGCCTCATGATACTTCTGCCACCCAAGCTGCTCATTATTCTTTTTCCACTCTCCTCTACCTGCAGAATTGCTCCTTATCTTTTGGAGTTCTGCTTATCTCACCTCCTTGATGGTGGTGATGAGGCATCTGGTTAATGTCTAGAGATTTTTAAGAAGTGTCTATTATGTGATATGCACTGTGCTAGACCTTGAAGCTACAAAAGCAGTTACAAGGGTGTCTGCCATCTGCTCACTGTATCATGAGGGAATTGAAAGAAAAGCAGTCATTTCAAAAAAACGAAAAGTTCTCTGATCAAGGTATATCTAGAAAACTCCAACTACTTTTCCTTCTGGTACACATCTAGACTCTATTTCCCAGCCTCCCCAATGATCAGATGAGTCGCATGCCTGAGGTGTAACTTATGGAATATAGGTAGAAGTGACATATCCCACTTGTAGGACTTCCCACAAATATCTATGCAATTCTCCACCCTCTCTCTTTCACCATCCCTGAATGGACAGGGTTCCAAAAACTCAGGAGAGGGCAGAGCCACAAGATTGAAGGATCCTGGGTTCCTGCATCACAACTTAAAAGAAAGTTGACTTACAGGACACCTTATTGGGATGTTCCATGAACAGAGGATATAATTTTTATTGTGTAAGCCAATGAGAATTGAGGTACTCATTATTGCAGCTGGCATATCCTGGCTATATGGTGATTATGAGACCCAAGAGGACCTTTTTTTAGGGTAATTTTTAAAATATAGCCATAGATAAACACCTCCAAATGCATTTATCACACTTGCACCACCAAGAGGACCTTTTTTCAAGTAGCCTGTAAGGCTCCAAGCATGAGGACCAAACATGGTTAGCAAGCACTGGGGGTATAGCTCAGTGGTAGAACACATGCTCAGCCCTCACTGGCCCTGAATTCCATTCCTAGCATGTGTGTGCTCACACACAATCAGCAATGTAAAACCCTCTCCATGATATCAAACCTCACCATGCCAATAAAGTGATGTCAATATTCTCAAGACAATAGAATATCTTGAAATCTCACAAGAATTCACAGAATTCAAGTTGTTCTTGATGAATTGATTATCAAGGGAAAAACTGTCAGAGATTTGGCTTTTGTCTTGATTTTTAAATGAAGTTTTAAATCTGCAGGTATTTTTCTATCTACATCATCTTCTATTGTTGCTCACTATGTTTACATTTGTCTAAGTTATCATGACAGGAACCAGAATAAAATTTTCCCCTAATCATGGTTTTTCCTGCTCACTGTTGTTATGAAAAGTCCTACAATTCTAAAATATAATCATTACTATGGAGATGATTTTTCTAATACAGTAGACCATGGCCCAATTTATCCCCTGGTTTTAAATTAGGTTTTGGGGGAAACAAAATTAATACAATGTCCAAAAATTGCTATTATTTTACAAGTGATGATAACAGATACTGGAAGAAACTGACTTGTGAGGTTCTAAACAACGATCTTCAGCCTGGCAAACCCCACCTTCCAATGGAAATTACCAATGAAATTTAAAATGCACTAAAGTGCATATAAGTAGAAAATCATTTCGGCCATATTTTGTAGTATAGATTGAGAAACACTAATCTGAAATCCAAAATATGAAATGCTCCAAAATCCAAAACTTTTTTATTACCAACTTGAGGTCCTAAGTGGAAAATTCTATACCTGTCCTCATGTGAAGGGTTGCAGTCACAATGCAGGCATGCTCTAAATATTATATGAAACATAAAGGAATTTTATATTCAGATTTGGGCCCCATCCCTAAGATATCTCATTATATGTATGCAAACATTCCAAAATCATTAAAAAAAATCTGAAATCTAAACCCTTCTGGTCATAGGCACTTCAGATAAAGAATGTTCCATCTGCATTCAGAGCTAGGAAGTATTTACAAAGAAATTTTTCTAACACAGTGTTCCTCCCTACAACCCCCCCCCCCCAAAAAAAAAGAGCTAATCATAAGACATTCCTGGGCTGCTTATTTAAAATCCAGATTCCTTGGCCTTCCCCCAGCCCCACTGTCTAAGACTCTTTGGAGAAGGGCCCTGGAATCTCTATTTTCAGCAAGGATACAAGGTGATGCTGCTGGCATTACTGGTTCATGGTGCACATTTGGAATGTGAAGGTTCTGCCTCCAACTTACCCACATCTAGATTTGATTTTCACTTAGAAATTTTTCAAAGAATCACTACTTATCTATAAATGGTAGAATTCAAAGTGAATTTATTGCTTCTTCTCTCCCTCTTCATAGGATTCTAAATGTTTTTTGTTGTTGTTTGTTTGTTTGTTTGGCGGGGAGCGGGGGTGAATACATGCTGCATTTTATTCAAAGAAGTTTTTAATTTTTTTTAGTTGTCAATAAACCTTTATTTTATTTATATTTGGTGCTGAGACTCGAACCCAGTGTCTCACACATGCTAGGCAAGTGTTCTACCACTGAGCTATAACCCCATCCCATTTTTAGGACTTTTATTGCTGCCTGTTTTAAACACAATTCCTGGCAACATAGCCTTGATCAAGTACAATTAAGAAAATATGTTTTGTGGGGCTGGGGTTGTAGCTCAGTGGCAGAGTACTTGCTTAGCACATGTGAGGCCCTAGGTTCAATCCTCAGCACCACATACATAATGAAATAATAAAGGTATTGTGTCCACTACAACTAAAAACAATTTTTTAAAGAAAATATGTTTTGTTTTGTTTTGTTTTGGGTACTAGGGAGTGAACCCAGGGGCACTCTACCACTGAGTAAGTTATACCTGACCCAGCCCTTCTCATTTTTTAAAATAGGGTCTTACTAAGTTGCTGAGGGTCTCACAAAGTTGCCAACACTGGCTTCAAATTTGCAATACTCTTGCCTCAGGCTTTCAAGTTCCTAGGGTTATAGGTGTATACCATTATACCCAGCTCAGAAAATATGATTTTTAATCATGGCTCAGCAATTAATTTAGTAAATTGCTTTTGTAAACTTATTGACCCTTCTGTGATTCATTTTCTGTAGTCATATAGCTTAATGAACACATACAATTCTCTTTCCTGGCATTCTTAGGATTTCTTTTCTTTGTAGCACTAAACTACCAAAGTTACAAATTCTAAAACATTTTTTAAAATAAGAGAAACTTTCAAGTTCCTGAAGTTGTTTCATCAGTGTAATTTTTCTATAGCTCTCAAAGTGGTCTTATGTCTTTTCAAAATAGGTACTTTGGTTTCTTGCCAGAAAATGACTTACTAAAAAGAGAACAGGAGAGGAAAAAAAAACAGCAAAAGACCAAAGGATGAACGGGGGGGGGGGGGGGGGGAACATATGTTCATACAGAAATCTCAGGAAATAACATCATTACATAACCAGTTTCCAAAACTAATAAACAATTTAGGCTATCAGAGAGAACAGTATGGAGAAAGACCAGAAATAAAAGGCCAAATCATCATGCATTTCTTGTCATCACAGCAAGTAAATTACACCAGACAATGGTTTGGGCCTATTTGTCACAAAGGGCACCACAATTTTCCCTATGACTCTTTTGCTGTAACTTTCCTTAACAACAATTTTCAAAGGATGTGAGAAGGGAGGCCCTTCTAATTTAAAGAGAAAACAAAAACCAAAATAAATGCACACAAAAAGTTCTTACTTCTTCCTCTCAGAGCCTAATATCCTAAACAAATCTTTAAAGTACTGTGGGACGCGGACCACCACGTTCTCGGAGGGGCTGATGTCTTTCAGGTGGGGATACAGCCTGACATCAATGACCTTCTTGATGTAGCCCAGCCAGTCAAACTGAGGGGAGAGAGAAAAAAAAAAATGAGCAAGGAAACCTTTGTAAATTAGGCAGCAAGTAACAAGAAAGGCAAATAGAGTAGGCTGAGCATAATTGATTCCTTGAAATTTTACACCAAATAATTAAAGATACAACTGTTTATAATTTACTTATCTAGAAGATTAAGTGTTAATCCTTGCCATTTTGACCTGTGGTCTTAATCACAAAGAATTCTGCCTTCTTTACTGGGTACAAATGGATAAGACACTTATGTAGTAATGCACATGCACTCAAGCATGCTCCCTAGCTTCTCTGGCCCTCCTCCACTTCCTGAACTCTCTCTCCTTCATCTCTCCATACTGCTTTCTCAGCCCCCTGGACTCTTCCTCTAGTCTATGCTCCATTCCTCCCATGTCTTTTCCTTCTCTCCCCCACTTCCTTCCCTTCTTCTGTATACACACTCCCTGGTCTCTTCCTCTGTAGTCTCTCCATTCCCTAGACACACAGATACAGACACCTCAGTACATTTTCTGGTCACCTCCCCAGCACAGTCTTAACACAGGAGGAAATAAACAGCAACAGAAAGTAACACCCTTATATTCTTCAGAGCATTGCTATTTCGGTAAAACACTGCTCGATGTTTTAGACTGGCTCTCCTAAAAGTGATTTATCAACCTTGTCTCCCTTGTTTGCTTTCACTGTTGAAATGGAAAAACAGTTACTCATTTTCCCAGTGTCCAGCCCCCAAGTTCCTCTCCTCAGTTAGGTGTGGTCACGTGCTCCAATTCTATTCAATAAGAAATAAAGGGAAGACATCTGGGGAATATTCTGGGAAGCCTTTTATGCTGTCCCTGATAAAAGAAAAGTCAAATGTGACCATCACTGGCCCTTCCCTCTTCTTCCTGTCTGATGGAAGATGTGATATATGGAACTATGGTAGCTGTTTTACAACCATGAGTCATCAAACATGAAGTCAAAATGCCAGTACAATATGGAGAGTGAAATAGAACTTGGGTCTTTGACAACACTATTAAACACCTGAACCAACACCAATTACTTCCAACATCTTGACTTACGTCATGTAAAAAAATGGGCTTTAAATTTTAAGCCACTGTTGGAAATATTTTCTGTTCCCTAAAACAGAAAGCATCCTAATGCATACACAAGGGATATTTTATGTGATAGTTGTCAAAGATGATGATAACTAAAAAGACTGATGGTAGGTTTTACAAGGCAAAAATTTACACAGATGAAATACAATCACTTGTAAAGTGACCAGTTAAGAGAAAATTTCCTGGATAGTTTTCACCAACCTGGGGAATCATGGCACTCAGTTCAGAAATGTTCATTTTGTTGTACATGGCCTCACTGGTTCGGTTTTCATGTGGAATCATTATCTGTCAGAAAGACACTGGTTATTTTTTTTCAAATGAATCATTTCTTACTGCCTGACTACTATCTACATGTGCCAAAACATCTGTATATTATTATTAAATTTTTCAAGATTTTGGTGTGGTGCCCAGCTGAGGGGAGAAAATAAAAAGACAACATCTTAGGCAGGATTAAGAAAATTAAAAGAATTTACAATCCTCTTCAGTATAAAATATTGCCCCCAGTATAAAAAACAACTTCTTAGAATCTCCTCCTCCTCTAAAATTTGGAGAAATATAATGCATTACTGGCTTACTTTTGACAGCCAAACTGAAGTTGGACAGTTTGAGGCAAACATTCTACTTTTACCTGTCTCCAGATAATAATGTCAATACTCTATGAGCCAGAGACCATCATTTGATCTCTAGGGACAAATTTTCACTGACAAACACTAGGTTATCTAGATACCACTGCTACCCATGATCATTTTGTCAGTAACCATTTCCCTTATTTTCTCCTCTTGTTTGTTTGGTTTTGAGATTCTCTTTACCCTTCTGTTGGGGTATGGATTCGGTTACCACCCAGACACATATCCAAACCTCCATCTGTGGCCCTGACTCTCCATACTCTTTCCACACCCAATGCTCATGCTCTTGGCCATTTGGCCAAAACCAAATCTAAGCTTTTTGCATGTGATATGTTTAACTTATTCTAAGAACAGGAACACTTATTACCTTCTTCAAGGGACATCTTAATCACTTCTTTTGACAAAACCATACCCACCCCTGAATCACATTATGATTTTGCTTTAAGGCCTTCTTTTTAAAAATATTTTCATCTTCTTGGTCCTGGGGATTGAACCATATGGTGCTTTGCCACTGAAGTACATCCCCTGTTCTTTTTATTTATTTTTTTTATTTATTTGTTTTTGGTACTGGGATTAAACTCAGGGGTGCTGTGTCACTGAGCTACATACATCCCTAGTACTTTTTACTTTAAGGCAGGGTCTTTCTTACTAAGTTGCTGAGATTGACTTCCAACTTGCAATCCTTCTGCCTCATCCTCCCAGGTCACTGGGATTACAGGCGGGCACCACCAATGCCCGGTGTTTTAAGGCTTTCTATAATTTAATTCTTTTGCATGACACACAACTCTTCTACCATTACATTCCTTATCCACTATTACCCCTCCATGATTTGGACTATGATTCAAGATTTTGCATAAGATTTATTTTCTCTAACAATCCTTTTCAATTAAACTCTACTTGGTTCTGATCACAAGGGCTACTCCACTAACAAGTCCTCTCCTTGTACAAAGTCTCTCTATCTGGGATTAGGTAAATTGCACGCCCTTTTTTGTTTTGTTTCTATGATGATGGGGATTGAATCTGGGGCCTCATGCATGCTAGGTAAGCACTCTACCACTGAGCCATTTCCCCAGCCCCTAAATGCACACTTTCATGGATGCTTTACAAGGACTTATTTGGGCTTAACTGGGCTGTCCTGCCTCCCCAGCCTTAGAAGTTTCCCTAAGACTATGTATCCCACCAATGTTGAATGGATCTAGTAACCTGAAGCATGGAAGAAGGAGGGGAGCATTTCTAATGGGCCAAAAGTACACACACCATGGATTTTTCAAGGCAAAATCTTAGAGGGCTGAGTGAAAGACAGTTGCCCTATCTGTTCTAAATGCCCCAGTGCCTTTAGCTTCTCCCCCTTTCCCCTCCATAGGGGAGACTGCATGTACCTTCCAGCTGTATGTTAATCATTGCCTCTTCCGTCCATGCCTCCTCCTCCTGCCTCAACTCAGGCTCACAACCCTAGGTTGGAGCCCTCTGACCTCAGAGCTGTTTTCAGCTCTATGCCAGCTATTCCCCTCCATATAATGGATTTGTCACTTAATTGAGCCTCTTGATAATTCCCAATCTTGCCTCAGAGCAGCTGTTTTTATTTCTCTTCTTGGTCTAACTCCCTGGCCTTCCCTGTTTTTTTTTCAAAACTTCAATCTAAAGCAGATCTCTGGGCCTCCTATGTGCCTGAAAAAGGGAATCCTGACAACCTGCATACACAGCCTAGAGGCAAAGTTGTGGACTTCAAATACCTGTGGCAGTATTCACAGTATATAGAGGTGACATACAGGCATGATCTTTTGTATTGCAAGTAGGAGATGGGAAAGAGGTAATGTGAACATCATCTCAGCAGGAAGGAAGCCCCATTCACTCCTGACCTTCATTCTTTACCCCTACTCCATACTTCAACTTACTGCTATTACCCTACTAAACATGAAACCAATAAACATTTGGACTTTTATTTGCCTCAGGTTTTTTATCAAGGTCCATTACAAAAGACCACAACCCATATGCAAAGTTTCTTGGTACAAGTTTGTTTGTTTTCACAAAAGTTTCCCCATAAGCAGATATCACTATATTTGTTTTCTCTAAACCTGTGAACATACAGGGCTTTCATACTTTGGTTCTTCTAGAAACTGGTTATTTTATAAACAAAGAAAACCATTTAAGATTTCTCATTATTCTCCCATGAGTTTGTTTTCATGCTGTTTTGTCTCTAACCTGAACCTGAAAGAGTTCGGGAGACTTGGTCAGAAGAAGTTTATGACACAATGACATTAATTGGTAGACAGACTTCCCTGAGCCCAGATCTTGTATCAGACTTACTCAGTAAGAGGGAAGGGGGTATGGGGATAAGAATGATAGTAGAATCAATTGTACATTATTACCCTGTGTGCACACATAATTATACGACCAGTGTAACTCTACATCATGAATAACCAGTAGAATAAGAAGTTATACTCCACTTATGTATGATGTGTCAAAATGCATTCTACTGTCATATATAACTAATTAGAACAAATTTAAAAATTCTTTAAAAAATGAAACTCAAGGACTGGGGTTGTGGCTTGGTGGTAGAGCGCTCGCCTAGCATGCACAAGGCTCTGGGTTCAATCTTCAGCACCACATAAATGTAAAATAAAGATATTGTGTCCACCTAAAACTAAAAAATAAATATTAAAAAATGAAACTCAATCTTCACCTTTATTTCATATTCTAAATTTAATTCAAAATAGATCAGAGACATAAATGTAAGAGCTAACATTCAAAATTTTCTAAGGGAAAATAAAGGAGGATAATCTTATTCAAAAAAAGCAGACTGGGGGCTGGGGTTGTAGCTCTGTAGCAGAGTGCTCGCCTCACATGTGGAAAGCACTGGGTCCGATTCTCAGCACCAAATAAAAATAAAATAAAGGTATTGTGTCCATCTACAACTTAAAAAATATATTTAAAAAAAGAAGACTGGATTAAAAGTAACATTCCAGAGTTGGGGGTTGACTCAATACTATGCATGAGGCCCTGGGTTCAATCCCCAGCATACACACAAAAGAGTTATTAAACATTTATATTCTATTCAGGGTCACACAAAAGTTTGTCTAAGAAAATAGTCTGGTCTTTCTTCTGCTATTCTCTGGCCACAACTGAGCAGCATACAGACATGGAATGTGTTTTTTTAATCTTTATTTTATTTATTATTTTTATGTGGTGCTGAGGATCAAACCCAGGGCCTCACACATGCTAGGCAAGTGCTCTACCACTGAGCCACAACCCCAGCCCTGAATGTGTTTTGTTTGGCTTGGTTTGATACCAGGGATTGAACTCAGGGGCACTCAACCACTGAGCCATATCCCCAGCCCTATTTTGTATTTTATTTAGACAGAGGGTCTCACTGAATTGCTTAGGGCCTTGCTTTGAACTCACAATCCTCCTGCCTCAGCCTCCTGAGCTGCTGGAATTATAGGCGTGCACCACCACTGGACCTGGCTGTTAAATGGGTTTAAACAAGTGGAAAGAATGAAGAGCTCTTCTTCCTGCCATGGTTCTTCTCATACTTCCCAGAGGGGATGCTGTTAGTTCTACTTTGGACCCAAAGGGCAATGACACAGAACACTGTTACTTGATTGCAATTTTTATTTTCATTCAAGATATACTGACTTTAAAATAAGAAAAAGAACATGAATAAAGGATTTTCAATTAATACTCACCTCAGCTATCTTAATTTCTAATCTAAGCACCGACTTCATGTCATGCTCTGCTCGAGAGCTGTTAGCTCCTAAAAGCACAGCAGTGTCCACCATGAACCTATAAAGGGCATCCCGATACTGTAAGAGATAAAAAAGCAAGTGACCGTGTCAATAGCCTACTAGAAAATATGTTTCAGAAAAGCAGGAAAAAAGATAGAAATAAGTGTCCTTCATTTTCACTCTGTGCTCAAAGTATGGTATAGGCATTATATAACACTAGCTACCCACCTACAACTTTGGGAGACAAAAAAAGTGATGGGTTTATGAGACTGTTTCCATAAAAGACAGAGATACTCAGTCATCAAGCATCAAGAGAACTAGGCTTCCCATAACTGGCTATATTATGGATACATGAAACATCTCCAAATGAGCCTAGAATAAAAAGTTAATGTTCAAGTGTCCTCTTTTCACGCAAGTGAAGCTTTAATAAAATAAAGGGAAATGACTGTTTCCAAAAGCAGGAGTCCTGATCCATAAACACTGATGGGAAGTATGATTTATTCTCTTCCAGCTCAATTTATCCACCTTCATACTCAGAAATGAAAGATGACTGCAGTTATTAAGGCCCTGTGTCTTTTCACTTTTGTACAGTTTCCAGCAAGTTCCCCTTGGCTCAGGGGGAAAAGATGGGAGAGAAGGGAGAAATGATGAGAGAAACCTAGCAAATAGCAAATATGAAATTTCCTCCCTAATGTACACCTGGACTCTGTAAGCTATTCTTCCTATGTGTATGATCTCAGGCCCTATACAGTGCTCAGCACATAGTGAGTCATTAATAAAACTGATCTGATCAGTAAGCAAGTTTTGCAAATAGTCTTAATAAGAAAGAATTTTTTTGTCATTCCCAATTCAATTCAGAAAAAAAATCAAACTACTCAATACATATGCAAAGTGACTTGCTAGGCAGTCTGTGGGAAAAGGCAATGCAGATGAAAAATTAATAATCCTTTAGTCTGGTTCTCAATGTGTGATCCAGTGAGGAAGATAAACATGTCATTACTAACCATAACATTAGTAGGACAAAATTAATTTCTTACTAAAGTTTCATGTTTGGAAACTCAAGAACTGGAGAAGGATTCTTACCTGGAAGATTGGGGATGGAGAATTTGAGGAAGACCTGTTTGAAGCAGTGAGGAGGACAAGTTGCTTTGGTTGAGGGAAAAACAAAAGTAGATGAGTCAGAAAGGAAAGGTGGGTTAGGATCAACCATGTAGAGGCCTTGAACTCCTTCAAAGAGCCTATTTTCAAAGCAAAGGCACTGTGGGAGCAATGCTATAAGAACAGAGCTTATCCAGTGGTGCTAAGAAATCAGTAGAAAGAAGGGAAGGAGGGACCAGTTAAAAGATTGCATGCTGTAGACAAGATAAGGGTAAACAAGAATCAGACCCAGGGCAATAAAGGTAGAAAAGAAGGGCCAAGTAGCTAGAAGAGATATTTTGAAGGTGGAATTACTTAGATTTGACTTCTTGTTTATAGAAGGAAGAGATGAATTCAAGCCTCGTTGCTGAGAACCTAGCAGAAACAGAGACGCTCCCAAGTTGGTAAATATGCATTCTACTTTGTAAGAGGACGATTTGCTAATCTTCTTTAATGAATGTCTTCAGCCAGAAAGCTGCTTAGGGTCTTGGCTAGTTTCCTGCCCTCCAGAGCCTTCTCCAAACAGAGGTTAGTACTAGTAGAGATCCAAGAGATAAATGTCTGAAGCTCTTTAAGAAGTTTGATAAAGTTTCCAAAATGAATTAAAAGAGTCAGAAATGGACCAGCTCTTTCCAACCTCCAGGAAGCTATTAGGTTTCCCAGATAGGACAAGAAGTCTAACCTCATTGATACATTCTGTTCTTATAACCCTCTATTAGTCTGTGGCACCTGTTAAAACTACAGATTCCCAGACTCCACCCCAACTCCACTAAATCAGATTCTCTAGGAATTGACACCTAATAGAAGCTTCTCAAGTGATTCTTAGTATAATATGAGAACTATTGGTCTCCCAGGTATCTGCCCCCACACTTCACTTCTACAGTGCATACTGTGCACTTCTAAGGAATAAGTGCAAACTTGTTTCTTGGTTATGTCATTGGCATGTGCTGTCTCCCTGGCAAGATCATGAGGGCACTGAGCAGGGGAATTTGTATACCCTGACACCCAGGCTTCTAGAAGACAGGGGTGGAATTTATCTGCGTGAATAAAAGGTGTTTGTCTCCTGTGTTGGAAAATAATGGTAGTGAATAGCAATACTACTTATTTCTGATGAAGAAGCAAGAATCTTAGAACCCAAATGATGAATCTGACAGTAGCTTCACAGGGTTGAATACTTACTGATTTGGCTTCTGTACTGTTATCCAGGTAGTCTTCCCTCACAGCTAGGGAGAGTGTTGCTTGGTCCAGCTGTTAAAACAAAAACAGAAGGCATTCTGCTGGCACTGTAGATTCTATATACCATGTTACCAATAATCATGAGATCATCTCACCGCAGCCATATTTTGAGCTCGTATCACCATTACAAAAAAAAAATCCATTCTACTCAGAGCTACATGAAAATAGGCACTTTGTAATGGTGGATCTTAAGTATCTGAGACCTGCCACTGCTTCCCTGATTTCATGGTTTGTAATCCTTTTGAGTTTCTATCAACACTGAATAGCACCAAAGCAATTTGAGTTAGAATAGATCTTAGAGATTATCTGCCCCCACACACACTTATTTGACAGGGGTGGGGAACAAAAGCCAGAGAATTGATATGATTTTCCCAAGGTAATGTGATTGGGCACAGCTCAGTGTAAGTGTCTTCTGTTATCAGATCTATTATCTTCATTACTGCAGTAATTTGCAAATGCCAATGTGGGTGGAGTTGACCAATCAGACCTTCCACTTCCCTACCTCTAAAATAATTTTTTCCTAAAGAAATCAAATAATAATTTTGAGAAATCTTTGCAAATTTTAGAATCTCTCTGCAATGTTAAGGATAGATAACAAAAATCCAATAGTCAGACAAGTAAATAAGTAGAATTATTATGATACATTATAATATAAACTCTTGAAATAAAACTTATAGCACCATAAATCCAGTCAAAAGAAAGAACAGTCTTTTCAAAGTACATGCTATAAAAACTGGACATCTTTATGCAAAATAAAGTGGAACTATACCTCATACTTTGTACAAAAATTACCTGAAAATGGATCATGGATCTAAATGTAAAACCTAAAACTATAAAAATTCTAGAAGAAAAATAGAGGGGAAATTTTTGTGACCTTAAGACATAAGAATGAAATCATGATTACATAAAAGAAGTTAATAAATTAGAATTAATATTAAAAAGTTTTGCTCTGTGAAAGACAAGCCAGAGAATGGATAAATATTTTTAAATAATATGTATGTCAAATGATGTGTATTCATAGCATATAAAGGCTTCTCAAAACTCAATACTAAGAGAACAATCCATTTAAATGTAGGCAAAAGATCTGAACATACTTCACCAAGGAAGATATGCAGATGGAAAATAGGCACATGAAAATATGCTCAACATCATTAGTCATTAGTAAAATGTAAATTAAACCCACAATAAAATACCACCACACCTCTTTTAAAATGTAAAATATATCTGATGAGTGTTGGGGAGGATGTGAAAAAACTAGATCACTCAAATATTGCTAGTGGGACTGCAAAGTTGTCCAGCTAACTTCAGAGGAAATCAGCTTGAGTTTCTTATAAAGTTAGACATACATTTACATATAACCCATCAATCCCACTCCTAGGTATTTACCTAAGAGTATTAAAACTTGTACCCCCAAACCTTTATGTAATTGTATTCTTAACCATCAAAAATTGGAAACAAACCAAATATCCTTCAACCTGTGAATGATTAACTATGATACACAATGAAATACTATCCAGCAATAACAAGGAATGGACTGCTGATATATGCAAAAACATGGGTACATTTGACTTACATTCTAAAAGAAAAAAGCAAAACTATAGGAGCAGAGAACAGAATGGAAGTCACCAGGATTTCAGGTTGGGGAAAGGAATTGACTACAAAGGGACAACAGTAAGTAATTTGTGGGGTGATGGGATCACTCTATTTGTTGATTGTGGGTGGTAGTTACAAGATTCTATGCATTGATCAAAATTTACATACATATACATCACAAAACTAGATTTAATTGTATATAAACTTAATTTTTAAAAAAGCTTCCAGACACTTCTCTAAATCCTATGGCTTGTTTTTCCTTGAATATCAGCAAATGACTAAAGACTAACTAAAATGGATCCCAACCACAATAAACTGTCCATATTTAAATCTGATTTGCACATTAAAAAGTTAAGCTGAATTAATAAGATACAAAACCTAAATAATTTAACTCAAAAATTAGTAGCATCTGAATAAAAACTGAATCCTACATGCCCATATCATTATTTTATGTAACTTTAAATTGTTCTGATCCATCTCCCTCTAGTTTCTTCTCTTACTATAATCTCAAATATTTTACTCTCTTTTGAATACATGAAGTCTGAATAAGATTATAGTTTTCCATAAAAACCTCCTTCACAAGAAACAAATTTTACAAAGGCCAAGCTAAGAATTAGTGATGTCATGGAAAATTCAAGGAAAAATATTGCTATTGGGTTGTTTCTTGGGGGGAGAGATGCTTTCAAAATATCCATTTTGTCTGTGTATTGCTAAAATCCTCAAATTATTTTTTTCGACCTTCTCTAATTGGCCTGAAACAACAAAGTCACAAGCCAGTCTGGCTTCTTCCTGCTGCAATTCCCAAAATACCACTGTTTCTTCCAAAAATTAAGTAAGACAGGATCATGAAACAAAATATTTTGATTAAGATGCTTTGGCCTTCAATTAAATTTGGACCACTTGGAAACTCTTGTGAGCTTCAGTCTCACAGGAAAAGAAACTGTAGATAATATCAAAAAAGCCAAAGTTTCCTCTCATGAAATGAAGATAAACCCACTTATTTTAAAAGTTTAGATAATTTAAGTGAGGCTACCAGACCTTTTATAAACCCTTACATTATTAGGGGTTCTAGGGATCATTTTAAATATACCAACAGATTGAATAAGATCAGTCAACTAAATCTCACTAGAAACAAACTCTTGAGGCAAAAGACTTTCTCAAGAAGCCAACATCAAGGCACTATATTATTTGAGGCTTTTAAAATCTTTATATTGATGACTAATCTGAATATTGCAAGCAGAAAATAAAGCTGATACATTGCGCTGAAAATACAAATTTCCTCAAATAATAATAAACTTTGTTTTAGGAGATAGAGTAATAATACAAAAACACCTAACAAATTATGATGCAGAAAAAGACAAAGAGATTAGAAAAATCTCATTTCCAACAGAGTCTCTCCTTCCCATCATGAATTTTCCTAAGCCAAAAAGAAAATGCAAGCCACTGAGTAAGAATGAATTTAATTTGTTGCTTTATACTAGAGCAACCCTGGCCTTCCAAATACTCTTTTGGGATCACACATAGATTTAAAAACATAGAAGTTTTTAAATCTTCTATTGTCCCTTGAATCCTTATTCTTGCTATTTCCTGGCATGAATTAAACCCAAACACATGTAGCAAAATAATGTTTCAGGGCACTCAATTCTGATGTATCTTATATTTTTGTGTTTTCTTTCTCCCATTTAAGCCTGTAGCAAATTCTGTGTCATCTTGTCACAGGGGAGCTTTGCCAAGGGTCATTGTACAGGCCAAAGTGTACATCCTTGGGATGGGGAAATATCTACCCATTGGAAGCAGTGGTTTTTGCCTTCATCGAGAGGTACCATATGCTCACCTAACAAGACACTTATGGTGATATTCCTGCCCAGCAGGAGACATTTTTCTTATCCCTGTGGGTTTGTGATAATGGAGAAGCTAAAAACAGTGGAGAAAATAGAACTGGATGAAAAAAATAAGCCTAAATGCACTGAGGGAGGAGAGTTAGAAGTGAGAGAGATTTCCTCTAGAGCAGAAGGAGATTCTGTCAAGCTGAAAAAGAAGTCAGTGGTTCTTGGGAGCAGAAGGAACCAGTTGGTGTCCCCTAGAACATAGCAGTATCTGAGAGGGAAAAGAGGCCCAGGACCACAGAATCAGAGAAGCTCATCTAAAGGGGCTATTTGGGTTCCAGAGTAAATTTCTTCTCAGATCATCAATGACTAGAGGGTATCCCCAGTCCTAGAAAAAAGTTAAGAAATGGAGAAACTATGAGGTGGTGAGGAGTGCGTAGACTGAGGTTCAGTTTTCCAGCCAAAAGGTGTGGTAGAAAGCTTCATGATCAGATTAGGTTGAAATTGCACAACCAGATTTGAGACCTGACAGGCATGTCAAGAACACAAATTCAGAAGAATCCTTTAATGGTCCTGGGTCATGTTTCAAGAGAAGGGAAACTTTTATCATAAGAGTCTCTTGTGGACTAATATCTATGGTGGAAACTTGAAAATGTCAAGTCATTTAAACTCATAGCAACAGTGCAAAGTAAATTCTAATTTAGCCTTCTTTACACTTTGGGAAAGGGAGACTCAGAAAGGTAAAGCAATTTGTACAAGGATATTTAGTGAGTAAATCGCAAAGTGAACTGAGACCCTCAATCTCCTCACCACCAAAGCTTACTATTCCACATACCCATGGTCTTCAATGTTCCACAAAACCTAAAAGGGGTTCAGTGGCTCCAAATGTTCATTTAATGAAATTTTGTTTTTTATAGTTTTAGGCACTTTTAAAATGAATAAAAAGCAACACACAAATTCTACAATTTTGGCAGCCACAAATACATTGACTTTGTGGTCAGATTAATTGGGTTTCATTCACATCTCAGAAGAAAGCTTCCTCTATCATCTCTAGACACAAGTTTGCACTTTCTGTAACTGTTATCATGGTTAGGAAGATTATAGATCCATTTTGTTTAGGGGAAGGTGGTTAATTCAGTTGGGTGAATATTCACTAATATAAAATGGCACAGAGACAGAACTAAAGCAAATGTGTGCTGTGTTCAAATGCCAAGCAATGCTCAAATACTTCAGTTTGGAAAAAGCGGCCATATTGGCAAAGAAGAGCAGTAATAATAAGTACACGAGTGCCTCCTTACATTTGGGAAGTATCTATTACTGACAGTTTAGTGTTTCTAGGATCCATGTAATTGAATATTAAGTATGCAAGGCAAGCTGTTAACATGTTCCTCAATTCCCCATATTTTCTGTAAGCTAGTACTGAAACAAGAGGCTTGATTCAAGTTCTTTTTTTTTTTCTTTCACTTTGGCACATCATTGGAGATGGGGTGCACTTCATACTGGTATCAAGGAGAACATAATATCTGGTTGTCCTATGTTTAACAATGATATTTGGGTTCAGGTGATAGCAGTCTGATCTGTCATGAATGTCCCAAACTGTCACCTAATGGTTTTAGCAGCTATTGGTGATAGTTTTGTTTTGGTTTTTTTTTTTTTTTAATTTTTTATTGTTGGCTGTTCAAAACATTACATAGTTCTTGATATATCATATTTCACAATTTGATTCAAGTGGGTTATGAGCTCCCATTTTTACCCCATATACAGATTGCAGAATCACATCAGTTACACATCCATTGATTTACATATTGCCATACTAGTGTCTGTTGTGTTCTGCTGCCTTTCCTATCCTCTACTATCCCCCCTCCCCTCCCCTCCCCTCCCCTCTTCTCTCTCTGCCCCCTCTACTGACATTCGTTTGTCCCCCTTGTATTATTTTTCCCCTTCCCCTCACTTCCTCTTGTATGTACTTTTGTATAACTCTGAGGGTCTCCTTCCATTTCCATGCATTTTCCCTTCTCTCTCCCTTTCCCTCCCACCTCTCATCCCTGTTTAATGTTATTGGTGATAGTTATCTGAATCTATTCTTTCATCAGGTCTTTTTTTAACTTTATTTATTTATTTTTATATGGTGCTGAGGATTGAACCCAGTGACTCAAACATGCTAAGCGAGCACTCTACCACTGAGTCACAACTCCAGCCCATCATCAAGTTTTTTTTTTATTAGTTGTTGATGGACCTTTATTTATTTTTATGTGGTACTGAGAATCAAACCCAGTGCCTCACACATGTTAGGAAAGTGCTTTGCTTTACCACTCAGCCATGACCTCAGCCCAGGTTTTTTGTTTTTTTTTTTTTAATGGTAACTTTCTAACTCCATTATTTCTCCTGAATTCTTAAGCTGTGATTCTCTTAAAAACAAGAACTTAGTTTTATCAGTTATTTGGTTACCCTGAAATCAGTGGAATCCAGAATGTGGAAAGGTCTATAGGTCAAATTATCTAGTTTCTTAAACAAATACACATGGTTTTTAAAAAATGAGGGGAACTGCTACAGATTAAAATAGACATATCAATCATATGATTCTTATTTGGAACCCAAATCAAAGACCAAATGGTTTTGATTTGGGTTTTTTTAAAGGACATTTGTGAGGGCTAGGGATGTAGCCCAGTGGTAGAGCATGTGCTATAGCATCTTTGAGGTCCTGGGTTTCATCCCCAGCACTGCAAAATAAAATAAAATGAAACAAAATGGACATGCTTGAGACAATCAGGAAGATTGACAATTATCTGTGTATTAGATACCAAAGTATAAAATTATGATCACTTTTGTGGTTGTGATAAGAGTCTTTTCCATTAGATCAGTACTGAAGTATTTATAATGCAATGATGTTATATTTTGAATTTTCTATAAAATGTTCCATTCCCTCTCCCCCAAAAAGAAGAGGCTTAGAAAAGAATAGCAGAAAGATGAGGGTATTGAAGCTGGGTTGATAGGTACATGGGAGTATGTTTTTCTTTTCTTTTTATTTCTGTGCATATTACTTTCCATAATAAGTCTTTAAAGAAATTAATTCAGTTATTTGATTAGATCTAGATATCACTGAAAAGAAAACAGTTACCATTTGCAATGATTTATCTATGCGTTATTCAACATTTTCTGTTAATCAACAGAGCGTATCAACTTAAGTTTCAATGACATACTCTGGTTCACTTCATAATAGTGCTGAATGTATTTGGAGAAATATCATATACTGTAATTAAGGATGATAGTCTTAAAACATAGTTTTAAAAACTGAGCAACCTATAACCATGGGACAAAGGTCACTTGGATCACCACTATCATTGTATCTTATGTAGCACATCTTATCCTGATGGCATTAGAAGATACCTCAATACTATGCTATCATTCCATCACCCAACATAGAAACACAGCTGTTTCTGGAACTAAGAACTTCCTTCTGAGTAGGTTTGGAATTCTTTCAATGACCAAAGATTTGTATTGAAACTCAGTGTCTAAAATGGAGGTCAGAAAGCTATAGGCTTTGGGCTAGCCCTCCACACAGCCAGGTACAATGGCAGAGATATGTAGTTATGACAGAGTATAGATGGCGGGAAAAGCCTAAAATATGTACTCTCTGACCCTTTACAGAAAAAAAAGAAGTCCACTCTGATCTAACTCAAAAAATAGACTCCAGGATTTGGACTTTGGAAAGCTGAATTATATTGGATGATGGTAATATACTCTAATGGATTTATACTTCTATGATTTGAATATTAACATACCATTAATATTTTCTGGTTTGACAAATGACAGAATTGGGGGTGAAATCAGTGGTTCAATAACATCATCATTATTAGCCAAAGTAACTGTGGAAGTAAAAGTTAAAAACCCAACAAGATCAAAGCACAAAACAATTTGAAAATATTACTTGAATTTTTACAAAACTCTTTCATTGTTGAATCTTCTGTTGTTGCTACTTTTCTGACAGCCTCCTGATTTTATCGATATGATGTACCTTAGGGCCTGTCCACCTGGCCCACTCCCTTATGGAAGAGATGCTCACTTTTCCAATCAAAAAAAAAAAAATGTGATCAGGTACTTAGAACAAGTTCTGCTTGATCTTTTGAAAGGAAGGAGGAGAGTTTCAAATTGAACTAGACAATGAGAAAGTAGGTATGTAGGCATGAAACATTAGGAAAAGGGGGAACGAGGAATCATAGCTTGTGTTCTATGTCAGGGGAATGAAGAAGTGAGAGAAAGGACAGAATTCAGAAAGTCTTTCATGACAGCAGGAGACCGACAACCCTCTTCCCACTGGAATTTAGAAGCCCCACTCAGATATCTGGAGCAGATATCTGAGGGTCAGATCACAGAACACTTAAACTCACAGGCTTCCTGAAAAGTTGACAAAAGTTGTCTGCTAATGATTTATATTCTGAAAATCTTGTGGGATCTAAAAAAATATAGATCTAATTATCTACATTCTACAAATCTACATTCTAATGTTCAACAGAATTTTTATTTTATCATTTCACTAAGGCGGCATGAATTTCTTTCCCTAGGAAGGCAGCCTAAAAAGCTAATTTTGGAGTGAACAAAGAGTCCTTCCTGGCTATACCTTCAAAATGTGTTCATTGGATGCCTTGTCATCAGGGGACACATACAAACGGATGAACACAGAATTGCTGTATTGACCACGAAATGTTGCAAGCGTCTGCAGAAGACTGAATTTTCTCTCCGACCAAACTCCTTCAGGACCAATATTAGCTTCAAGTACGGGCCAGCGGAAAGGTGAATGCCGCAGAATGTGGAGCAGTGGCTTGGCATCTGCTTTTTCGATGGCTTCTGAAAGGGATCAGATATTAAGGGAGAGTTAGAATTGCAAACTGGATTACCAAACTAGAATGCAAATATATCTTCTCAAGAAAAAGTGCCCATAAGGCCCCAACTTGAAAATTCAGTTGTTAGAGAGAGAAAAAGAGAGGTATCCTGGATTGAGATTAACCCAGATACAGAACTCTAACTCACACTTTAATGTGACTGTCTAAATATGGTATTACTGCCAGAAAGTTGATGGATGAACCTGTTGGATATTCTCTACAATAGAATATGGGTTTGCTACATTGATCCTGGTTAAACTTATAGTACTTGGTGGCACTAATGCACAATCCTAGTTTTAAAGGAAACTGATCAATAAAACCAATCACTCTGCAATAAAGTGAACTAATGCTCCAGACCCTTGACTTTTCTGCCTTCTCCCAGTTTGCCAAATGATACCCCAGATCCTAGATCAGTTAACATATTTTCTAGAAGCACTGGCTCCTTCCTGCAACAGCCTTGAGAAAGCAGATCCAGTAAAATGGGTAGCATGCCTTCCAATCTAGTCATATCCAAGAAATTGAGAGACAGGTTTGAGGCACACAACAGTGATGCTGGTTAAACTAACAAAGAAGTCTGTCACACCTGGGAATCTGGATTTCTCTAGGTCCCAACATGCCCTATGAAATATACCAATTCTTCCAAATATACTTTCTTAGAGCCTCTTTCTCAGACCAGAACTAGCCTGGCTTCTGGATTCTGGTTTTTATGGGGTTTGCCCTACTGCCCTGCCCAAGTTTTTCATAGAGTAACTGATGCCCAAATAATCCAAGTCATCAAAATAAGATGATTTTCCATCAAGCCAGCCACAGAGATTAACTAAGAAAGATTAGTCAAAATCCAGTCTGAAAATTGCTCCTTTCCTCAAATGATACCTTGAAACATTAATAGAATTTTTGTTCTTTTTCCGTAAACAATATCTTTAAACTTTAATATAATTCTAAAGGATAAGGGTGGTAAATGTTTTATTTATTTTATTACTCACTCTCATTCATGCAGGATGAATAAAGGATTTTGGCTTTCTGTACGGCCTCAGAGTCACGCCTTCTACTGACTGATTTCTCCAACAGTGCTGGGAAGGTTAAGAGAGGATTCATTAGTATCCACCCACACAAGGTGCCAAGTTGGAGGTCATTAGACAATAACAGTCCTAGTCTCCAGAACATTAAATGTACATACAGACAACTCTGAAAAATATAGATCTATAAAAGACATACAGACAGAAAAACCGATTCCAAATTGCTTGAGGTTCAAATAAAAACAATTTAACATTTTCTTCTCCCAGGCTGTCCTAACTCAAAAGAAACCAAAAGTTCAATTTCCAACTGAGACTGGACCTTCTGTAGGGGTTAATTTCTTCTGCCACTACACAAAAGGAAACATAATTCATTTATTCAAGAACCAAAAATAACTGAATTTGGTCTCTTGTTTCTGTACCAAGTAATAGTCTCAACGGAGGCAATTTCATCAGGGTCAGGTTTCTTAAGATTTCTTCACAGTTCAGCCTCTCAGGGAGGTCACCTGGAAGAAATTTCCCATTAGAAGTTTTATTCAGTGTTGCATAAACATGCTGTGGACATGGAAGAAGTTATTTAGACAGGAAATGGAGAGGCAAGATTGGCAAGCTTACCCAAATTGCCTGAAAACTTGCCTATTTACACATACAAAGTCTTGGCCATTTAAATGAGGCCATGTGTATAAAATGGCTGTCAAGCCCACCTGGAAAATTATTTTCTATTTATAAGATCACTAATAATACTGTTACATGAATCTGGGAAATGACAGTTGTCACTGTTGCATTATATAAGGAAAGAGGAAAGCCAGGACTCAATGAAAACAAACCTTTGCAAAATAAAGAGCACCTCAAACTTACTTGAGTGTATCAATTTTTCAACATGACACCAAGCTGAAAAATTCCGATTGGAGACTGAAGCACTGTGGCAATGCCTATTCCAACTATGTCGAATTGCTGTTGTCAAGGCATTTGGGGAAACAACCTAACAGCCTCCAAAATCACAGTACAACAGATGTTCCTAGAGTTCTCTGAATAGCTTCAAGACACAATGTACAATCCTAATCATATTAATAAATAATTACATATTCCCTGAAGAGGTATCTATTTCTAAACTAAAACTTCAAACTACATCTCAAAAAAATGCAATCCACAGCTCCTGTCCAGTTTTTTAATAAGCAGCTGTATGTAAAACAAGTCCACATAACTAAATAGATTCCAGCAAGTTAAATTAAGTTAGGTTAGATGTGGGCATTTTCAATTATTTCAGTTTGTTTGGTGTTTCTTTCTCATGTATCGTCATAGCAATAAAAGTGCATAACCAGCCCCAAAGATAAAGAAAGGATTTGTTTATGTAATTCATTGTTGAAGTGATCTTTCATTGTCTGATTTTGCTGTCTGATGTCTTCCTTGAGACTCCAGATCATCTGAAGCATGTATATCCTGAATTCTTTATCTGACATTCCATCAGCTGCAGCTATTACCTCTTCTAAAGTTGAGTTGACCTGCAATGCTTGTGGTCCTTTCTTTCCTTGTCTCTTCATACTGTTCGCGTTCCTTTCTTCTTGGTGAAACTGTTGTGCTATTGAATTTTCCCCACTATGTAATGTTTTGAACAGCCAACAATAAAAAATTAAAAAAAAAAAAAAAAAGATAAAGAAAGGACTTTTTTTAAGTAAACAAAAAGCTCTAAAATCATATCCACATATACTCCCATTCAAATCAGATCATGTGCCTTTCCACCATATTGCTTACACAAACATTACCATCATTAGACTATTGTGGAGACACATTCAGAAATAAGTGGTCCAAGGGGCTGGGGTTGTGGCTCAGTGGTAGAGCGCTTTCCTAGCACACATGAGGCACTGGGTTCGATCCTCAGCACCACATAAAAATGAAATAAAGACATTGAGTCCACCTACAACTAAAAAATAAATATTAAAAAAAGAAATAAGTGGTCCAAATTTCATTTAGGATTGCAATCATTTTCTGATGGTATAAACATTCCATAGGCTACAAACATGAGTGTGCTAGGGACCAAAATCAAATCACAGAAAAAAAAAAGAACTAAAATTATTAAATATTTACCTGAGTATGCTCTCAAGGCATGCCATGTATCACAAGAAGAGAAAAAGAGGACACACATAAGCTAAGCAGGGCAATCTCCAAATCCTAACCATGCACAAATACTAATAATTAATGCATGTCAAAATTCTGGTTTCCATAACAGAATTTGGCTTTTAAAATGGATCCAGCCATCACAGTTTCCTTGTAATACTCCTTTCCTTCCCTTCTCCTTTCTTTCTCTCTGTATCCAAACAGGCAGGGGAACATTGATATGCAGACAGTGATGTGGCAATCAGTTGGCAGCATTCATTTTATATATCTCTGAATATGAATTAGTGGTAAGAGGAATAAAATCTAGCCTGGAGAGTTGTTTAATAAGCAGAAAACAAAGCCTGTCTATCACAGGCAATTACTTGAGTAATTAAAAAGTCCCTAAAGTGTTGAGAAGGGCTCATGGGTCACCCATATAGGAGAATTTCCAACCTAGCCTGTGTTGTTTCATGGAGGATCTCTCAACATCCCTCCCCCAGTCCTTACCATATTACAACAGAAAAGGAATGGTTGGAGAAGTCCTTCTGAACATCAGATTTGAATATCACATATATTATTTTTCTTTTCCTCATTATGCTCTATCAAATAAAATTTGTCTCAAAAATATAAGGCAGCATAATAGACATGCCAAGAGGATTGGCTTTCAAATCAGAGAGACTTGAGTTCCAGTTACAGCTGGAAAATGAGTAAGGTCTTTTATCTCCCTAAGCCTAGATTTCTTCATATGTAAATTTATATAGTAGAATGTACCTACGGGTTTTGGTGAGGATTTTAAAGATTTAATGCACAGGAAGACTTCATCTTAAAATAAGTGGTGGTTTAGACAGGATTATGGGCCAAGTTAATGACACACAAAATTAGAAAGTAATCAAGCTTGTTTCTAGTATTTCCTACTTAACTATGTCTCTTTTCCTCCTTCCTACTCAGGATACTGGTGGCCAAAGACCTTACATGACCTCAAGGTGCTGCCACTCTGTGTACAGAAGGACATTTGTATTGTGAAACCTTTTCCCATTCTATTAGAACTAATTTTCTTATGGTATCTTGTGAGGGACTGACACTTTTTCTTTTAATTTAGTTCAACTTGTCCATTTTTTGCCCTCATAGTTACTATATTTTGTGTCCTATTTTAAAAATCTTTGCTCATCCCAAAGTCATGAAGATAGTTTTCATTATAGATCTACAGTCTATCTGGTATTTCTTTTTGCACATAATATAAACAGCCCTGCCCTTGTAACACACACCTGTCCTCATGGGGAATGAAGCATGTGAGAATTTTTTTTAAAAAATTTTAGTTATACATGAACACAATATCTTTATTTTGTTTTTTTTATTATTATTTGTTTTTATGTGGTGCTGAGGATCAAACCCAGTGTCTCACATGTGCAACGCAAGCACTCTGCCACTGAGCCACAAACCCAGCACAGCATGTGAGAATTTTAATAAAGAATATATTTTTCATCATTACATATCAAATAATATCATAAAAATATTCTGAAGTGAAAAACTGGCATTAATAATGGCTACTCTCTATTCAACAGATTATATCTTTGAGCAGAGGCTGGGTCACATTCCTCTTTAAAGAACCAGGGCCTAGAGCTTGGCATGGCTGGTATACAGTAAATGTTTGCTAAGATGAATTCCTGACAAGGAAAGTCAGAGACAGAATTTTTCACCCAACTGAAAAGAAACTATGAGAAGCCAGACTGACTACTTAAATATTTCATCTTACGATCAGTATTATCCTTAACGTGCTAACATTCTAACTTCCTTTTTTCACATTCCAATCTCTGCCTCATGCAATGATATCCAAGACTTCATCTGTTTTTATGAACACCAGTTCTTAGAATACCCAAGTTTAATTTTACCAATTGTCTCATTTGAATCACTCATTCCCAATGCCCTGCTCTTCTCTACTGAGGTTGGGGGATACTTGGCATTCTACTTCCTTTACCCTCAGCAGTCAAGAGAAAATCATCAGTCCTACTCCCTCAAATCATTCTTCCTACTAAAAAAGGGCACTTATTGAGCACTCTAGAAGATTAAAAGAAAATTCCAAAGGAAGGCTCAGATTCCTGAGGACTTTATAGTGTCCTGGTTTGTCATGAGTTCAGTAATAGTCATGTGCATGCAGCTCAGGTCAGTCATTTGATGTTTCTGCAATATGTAGGAGCTACCCGACTATTTTTATTTTTTTGTAATTCCACATGTACAAAGTTTTAGGATATGAGCAAAATTCTTCCAAGAAACTTGGGGTTATGCTAATAATGTGAATGAGGTAGCTTGATCACACAGAAAGTCGTACAAAGCTTCCTCTTTTGTGTTCTTTCTCCTGGTCCTGCAATATTTCTTTACCTGCTCTGAAGGGAATCCTCTGGCTGTTTGCTAAGAGACCAGTGAATGCTAGAGCTGTTTGCTCAAATTTGCTGAATGAAAACAGCAACTGCATTTAACCTTCATATCAATATCACCAAAGTAAATTCTCAATTCCATATAAATTATGCCAACTCTTCTCCTTTGGAAATTAAAGGGAGTACCCTCTTAATTCTTGTGAAAGAAAGAACATGGGAAATCAAGACTTTAGAAAACAAAAATCTATATTTTAAGCTTCCATACCTATATAATGAACAGAATGTTCTCTAGACCTATATATTTTTGAAAGCTTATCATAGCATGGCCGGGTTTCTCCTTTGGTGGTACTTAAAAACCACCTTTGGATGGTCCATGGTTGAATGTCACCTCTAATCTTACTATTTTTAGTCTTTGTTGATTTTCTAGGCTGCAGACTTCAATTTGGTTTCCAGGCTCCAGGGTTTATTTACCGTACTAAAAATTTTCATTTTTCTAACTCACACTGCATGGGTATTAAACCCTTATGCAGTTAAATCTGGAGACTCTAAATCAGCTTGCAAAGCCCGTTGTTATTCCCATTAAAAAATAAA